GTCGGCTGTGGATCCAGCCGGAGTGACTGTAACTGAACAGAACGTCCTGAATGCGGCTGCTTTGGCACACCCTCGCCCCCTCCTCCTCTCTCTCCCCCTCTCCCACCGACCCCTACCTTCCCCTGCCCCCCTCCTCCCGGCAGTAGAGAGGAAAATTACATTAACTGCGTGTCGGCTGTGGATCCAGCCGGAGTGACTGTAACTGACCAGATCGTCCTAAATGCGGCTGCCTGCCTGTCACCGCCTCTCCTCTTCCGCTCACAGGCTCTGCCTCCCTGCAGCAGGAGGGAGGGTTTGGCACACCCCCACCCCCTCCTCCGCTTCTCCTTCGAGACCCGCCCCTGCCAGAGTACCTCCTGATAGTCCGGCATTTCTGATAATCCGGCACCACCTGGGTCCCAAGGGTGCCGGATTATCGGAAGTCTACTGTACATGATCCAGGGTGGAACAGGAACAACAGACACAGCCCATTTTCACATTTGTGTAGTGCACAGGACAAGAGGGATGAATATTTAAATAACTTTCTTCCAGGCCTCCCTCATAAATTCCAAGAGGAAAATGGAGAAACCATGTGTAGGGATACAGATTTTTGGTTTCTTCATTTCTCTCCTGAAAGTGGCTATATTTAACTATGGCACCGTTTGTGATCAGGCTTGTCCACTCTGCATTTTGACCCAGGCATTACCTTATGAATTAGAGCCCACTCTTGTAGCAACATGACCAGTGAATAATATAATACAAGCAGCAAAAGAGGATTTAAAAACACAGGCCAGCTTAATCCAGAATGAATCTGTAGCTTCCAGATTTCTGTGGCGTTTGGCTTGATGAGTGCCACCATCCCCAGGAGCCTGGAGAAAGAAAAATTAGAGACCGTGTTAGCACTGCTTGTCTTCTATAATTTTTACTATTTCTCTTTTTATATTGAGCATTTTAAGAATAGTGTCAAATACCACTAACTACTCCTAAAAATCAGAGCTCAATGATCAACCTCATTTTTCTTGTTCTGGCAAATGTTATTTATTTGCAACTCAGAGTACTTAATAAAGAAACCAGGACAAATTCCTGAATGTGGCCTGGTACTTAGAGAAGGCGAGTGGGCATGATTCCTCGGGTAAACTCCTGGCCCATTGAAAACAATAGCAAAAATCCTATTGATTTTATGTGGGCCAGAATATCTCTGGATTTCATTCTATTCTCCTGCCTCGATTTTCCTGTGTGATTGTGAGGGAATTATTTAGCCTCATTGTCTCCATTTATGAAATGGAGATTATGATAAAACATAGAAGACTTGTGGCTTAAATAATGTTTCCATGAATTTCCATGAACTTCTCATATAAAAGATACAAGGCAACAGCAAAGTAATGGCAGTCCTAAAAGCTTAAAAGCAAAAATGTTCCCTCTAGAACTTTCTTCTTAGGAAATACTGATATGTTATTTCGAGTCCTGTGGTGCCTTATAGACTAACAGATGTATTGGAGCATAAGCTTTCGTGGGCAAAGACCCACTTCATCAGACGCATGTGCTACAGGACTCCTTGTCGCTTTTGCCACAGGGATCCTAAGGTGCCACAGGACTCCTTGTTGCTTTTGCAGATCCAGACTAACACGGCTACCTCTCTGATATGTTAATTGTTTTCATACTGCTTCAATGGGTCATAGAATCATACAATACTGGAACTGGAAAGGACCTTGAGAGGTCATCAAGTCCAGTCCCCTGCCCTCACAGCAGGACCAAGCATCATCTAGATCATCCCTGACAGATGTTTTTCTAACCTGGTCTTAAAAATCACTTAATGATGGAGCAGATGAGTCTACTTAGGATCATTTGTATATATTTCAATCCTGCCTTTAGACTGGTGTATTTAAGTATTAACCCTATCCTTTCCTGTACGAAACTTGACGTCTTTACCTGGCATAAATGTCATCAGGAGGAACCAAGTCCTGAAAGTACGGCAGCTGGTACAGGTATAGGGCCACAAGGTGACCTGCACTGAATATAGCCATCATCACGCACAAGCTGCTGAAGGTGGCCAAGGTAATGGGACGATGACAAGCCCACCAGGAGCACAAGCCCAGGAAGGTGAAAAAGTAGACAGCAGAAGTCACAGAAGGCAAAATTATACCTAGGGGGGAAAATAGTCCATGAAAGGGCTTTTATTTCACAGCAAGCAGGATACACAGGTGCGACCAAAGTGGCTCCTCAATTGAAGGACAGTGACCACAATGAGTACGAGAAGCCACTGTGGAAGCATCATTGATGAAAAATGAAGCAAGAAGAACAGAGTCTCCAGTAACCCCTTCAATCATTTTAATGAGCTAGAAAAGAAAGAGAGGCCTTCCCAGGTTTTAGTGAGCCCATTGCAGAGAAATTCCCTTCTCTAATCTCTCATGGTAGGAGATCAGAGTAGGTGTGAAAAGGTCTCCTTGCAACTCTGAAAGGGAAATGCTGCCCCATATGTGATTGCAATTTTGCAGCAATAACCTGTGAGGATAAAGGCTGACAACAACACAACAGTGCACAAGACAAAGAAAAAAGTCATTGGGCAACAGCAAATAACAAACAAGAACAGTTGGGCAATGAAGAAAATTGCATCTATCTGGATGCCAAGTTTTTCATTCATTGTGTATGGGATGTAGACTCTTCCTTCTTCACACACCTACCCTCCATACACACACACACACCCAGCAGGCCTGAAAGAGAGCAACTGCGCTAGGCCCCTGTGACTCAGGCAGCACTGAGGGCAGGGGTAGGGAGTGCAGTCCGAGTGGCACTGAGGGCTAACCACCCCCATTCCTGCCCCTTTTTCCTGAGGATCTCACCCCTTCAGGGAGTGCAGAGCTGCCCTCTCCCCCCAACCTTGCCCTGTTAGTCTGTTAGCCCTCCTGCTCCTTTTAACCTCCTGCTTTAACATTCTTACCTGCTAAGCCTAATAGAAGAGTGGCTACCACCTTTCCAGCGCTGGTCAGGATGGCTTCAAATATGATTTTCAAGCCTGCTAGGAATGCAGTGATTTTCTGAATGAACCCTGGGTTTTGGTCACCTGCCTCTTTTCCCAAATCCTCTTCAGAAAAATAGTCGGTCTCTTCTTCCTCACTGTCTCCTGCTTCTGTTTCATTGTCCTGTAGAAACAAGAAAGACTCTAAGCAGGAAGGGAGCATGAAAACCAAGTTGCTACCAGACAGAGCCGAAACTCCTTGAACGCGCCATCATAGAATCGTAAGGTTAGGGTTGGAAGAGATCCCAGGAGGTCATCAAGTCTAGCCCCCTGCTAAAAGCAGGACCAATCCCAAATAAATCATCCCAGCCAAGGCTTTGTCAAGCCAGGACTTAAAAACCCCTAGGGATGGAGATTCCACCACCTCCCTACGTAACCCATCCCAGTGCTTCACCACCCTCCTAGTGAAATACATTTTCCTAATATCCAACCTGGACTGTCCCCACTGCAACTTGAGACCATTGTTCCTCAGTCTGTCATCTGTCACCATTGAGAACAGCTTTTCTCCATCTTCTTTGGACCCTCCCTTCAGATAGTTAAAGGCTGCTGTCAAATCCTCCCTCACTTTCTCTTCTGTAGACTAAATAAACCCAAATCCCTCAGCTTCTCCTCGGAAGTCCCAGACCCCTAATAATTTTTGTTGCATTCTGCTAGACTCTCTCCAACGCGTCCACATCCTTTCTGTAATGGGAGGCCCAGAACTGGATGCAGTACTCCAGATGTGGCTTCACCAGTGCTGAATAAAGGGGAATAATCACCTCTCTAGATCTGCTGGCAATGCTCCTCCTAATGCACCCCAATATGCCATTAGCCTTCTTGGCTACAAGGGCGCACTGTTGACCTATATCATCTCAGTTGTAGATGATATGGGTCAACAGCATGGATATGCTGTAGTGCAGAATTAGTCACAAAATCCTACTGGAAAAATAATAGCTATGGCACATTTGAGTCCTCAAATACTTCACTGAAAACCTACCGTCCGAGGTGTGAACCCTTGTTCCTGTGATCGTATCAAGCTAAGCAGACAGTTATGAATAGGGAGAAAACAAATCTCATGTCTGTGTACATAAGACAGGGCTCACTCCGCTGGCTGAGAGAGTGGAATTGTTTCTTTAGTTCTCTGCATAGCGGTCCCATTACAAGGCAGTCATCTCACGTTGTTTCTGTGAGCATGAGCACATCTAGTGTGAATGTAACCCAGTGCCCACGTGGCTTCCCCATACACAGCCCAATTCTTTTTTGCCCCATCTGAAAATGTCCAATGAGTTGGCCTATTAAAGTCTTAATTCACATAAGAGGATGCTGAACATACCACCTCCTCCTCCTCGTCCTCCTCACCGTCCTCTTCCTCCGCCTGCTCCTGATCTTCAGAAGGAAGCTGCATTTTGGAAATGGGAGGTTTCAACTGTTTTTTACAAAGCCTTCTAACCATGAATCCAGTGAAAAACATTCCAATATCAGGAGCCAGTAGGCGGATGATATTTCCAGCATCAATTTTGCTGAGCCTGCAGAGTGAAAAGCGGACACGTGAAGCATAAAGCTAGTGCTTAAAGATGGCAGCCTGACTTTTCCCAGTTTTGTTTTAATAATTAACCAGAAAACGAATCCCAGAAATGTATCTATGCATTAGTAAAAGGACATAAGAATGCAGTGCGCTTGGTTTTCCTATTGCAATTTGCTTATTTATAGTTTTGGTATTTAGCGGCAGAGAACACAGTATTAAATAGCAGGCAACATTGCACTCAGATACTGAGCAAAATTTTTAAGCTGTCTTTTTTTTTTTTCTCCACAAGTGACTTTGAACATCTGCTGAAATGAAGAAATATAATCTTTAAATCTCTTAATCCTTTATTAGCAGAATATAATAAAACCCTTTATGAGCAAACTAACATAGTTTATAACAGTTGCAACATTAATAATTGATGATACTCAACAAAAATCAATAAATGGTTACTTTTAAATACAAAGGCAACAGGTCACTGAACAATCAGCTTTTGTACACTTTGTCAGAATTACCAGCTCTAGTGATGTGTTTCAAGTGCATTTAGTCAGCATCTCTGGTTCAAATGGCTATGAATTTGTAGTCTTATTTTTTTTCAGAGCAAACTGAAAGAACTGGCAAGCCTGGTAGAGTGGAGACGTCAGTACAAAAAATTTAAATGGATTTTTTTCCTTTATCCCAACAGGATAAGTTTTTTACAGATCTTTCACATAAGAAAAAAAAGAGGGGAGAGAGAGCTCCAATATTAAGGGTGTGTCTACACTGCAGGGCTTAACTCAAAATAACCTAGGTGAATTGAGCTACATCCGTTGAATAACTTATTTCGAAACAGGGAGCATCTACAGAGCACTTTTTTTCAAAACAGAGTACTCTTCCTCTCCAACTTCCCTTATTCCTTGTACCAAGAGGGTTACAGGAGTCGGAGTAAGAAGTCCTCCAGCTTGACAGTATTTTGACACTATTTCGAAATAACTGCCTGCTGTGTAGATGCGGACTAAATTTTTTCGAAATAGTGTTGCTGTGTGCTAACAGACAATCCCATCTGTAACAGCAAAATATATATTTAATTGTCCATACTTACTAAATCAACCATGAAAATAGATACATATTGGATCTCCTTGGTCCGGTATCCTCAGGACCTCACTGGTCTTGGATGAGGGATTTTGCCGGACGAGGGAGGTCATTTCTTGCCCCTCTCGCCCCTCCCCCCCCACACTGCTGGCCCCACCCCTGCCCTGCCACCCCACTGGGCTTCCCAGTTCCTCCAGCAGCCCAGCCAGGCCACATGCTGGCCTTCCTAGTACCCCTCCCCCATGCTGGGTGCTGGGCTCCCAGGCTCCCCTGGACAGCCCAGCTGGGTCATGTGTCAGGCTCCCTTTCCCCCCCGGTATTGGGCTGGGCTCTCAGCCCCCTCTCCCCTGCATCACACCAGACTCCCGGACCCCCACACTCCTAGCAAGATGCCAGAGCTCTCTGATCCTGGAACATCCATGGTCCTGCTGGACCATGATGTTTCCACACCAGAGTCCCAGTGTATAGAAGTGCAACTTGTATTGCTCTTATTTTCAATTACAATACAATAGGGCCTAGAGGCTCCAGTCAGGTCCTCTGAGTGCTAGGTACTCCACAAACGTGATAAAGAGATTGTCTGTGACTGAAAGATTTGTCTTCCCTTCAAGATGTGCTCAGGTAGCTTATGAAATTAATGTAACTCCCTGAAATATCTGGTGTGATCATGTATGTGGCACTTTCTTACAGAGCTAAACAAATCTCTGATGTTTTTATTCAGCATTAAATTTTCAGTGTCTATATTTAAAGACAAGACATGCAACTAGTATCCTACCTGAGAATTCCAAAATGACCAAGCAAGTCCTCCCATCTGTAGTCTGGTTGAAAAGAACAAAGAGGCCTGTTTATAAACTGAGATTCCCTAATGTTCTCAAACTCAAACCTTCATTTTCATCTATAGGCTTTTCTCATTTTCCTGCCTGCATCCTTCTGGAAGGTAAACTTTAAACAACTGTGGAAGTACTATATAACATGCAGACCAATAATATAGGGAGCGCTCTTGCTATTGTTTTAACTGAGGGCAACATAATGCCCCAAAACAAGATTCATTGACGTGGGTCACTATACTGCAACAGAAGTGGGGTGACAGGATATAATCTATTTTGGGTTTAAAGAGTTTCAAAAGACTTCCATAGAGTATGCCTGCATTATCTGCATAAGCAAAATGTTTCATTTGCACATGCAAAGCATACGGGCTAAGATTCCTAAGGGGACTAGCAATGGTGGGATTTCAGTACTGAACATACATGTATAAATGCATTCTGAATAAAGGCTTTATAGAGGGGCAGCTTCAGGAGCAATGGGCTACAACGTTTGGACCCAGGGTTTGTTTCTGCCTAGAGTAGAAATGCAATTAAATGAGAAGTTGGGTTCAATCAAAATGTTTATAGCTCAGGGGTAATTGGACACAGAACCATCTCTAATGATGGCATTCTGCTCCCAAAGATGAATTCCTACCACAGGATAAATTATTGCGATGAAAATCGAATTTACCATTAGATGGCAGATAGTAGAAAACAATCTGAAATGCCACTTGGGTCGCAAGAAAAGTGAAGCTGGTGTAATTGATCACTCTAAACAACTGCTGTGTGCCTCCTGAAAAATAAAGTGTTGGCTTTGTTATGATAGCGCACCAAGTGTCCTACAAAACAGGTGACAAGCCAAGGTCCCTCCCCTGAGAGCCAACAGACAAAATCAGAGGGGTATATTGCATGGAGCAACAGCTCCCTACTCTTCCCAATTGCACTGTGGACAAAAGAAATTCCACCCACAGAAAGTCCAAACATCTGCCAGCCCAGGACAAGTGAGCAGGGCCAGCCCCCAGACTAACAAATAGCAAAGATGTGTAACAGTAGCTACATTCTTTAAACATCAGATAAAGGAAGTAAATAAGAGCGTAGCACAATATAAATTGTAGAAGTCCTCTATGGAATTCAACAAGGTAGAGTCTATTTATTCAGTTAACTTAATTTGGTTTAACACAATGTTGATAGTCTAGAACTTGAAGGCGGCCACCTACCTTTCATTGTGTCAGCTGTAGGCTTGGGAAATAGTGGAATAAGCAGTAGAAAGATGAGATAAGCCACAGACAACCCATTGTATCTGAATGATATTGCTGTGAAATAATCAAATGTGACTTTAGCTGAGACATAGGCTTCCTTTTTGTTCCAGATGATATACGTTGATGTCATTAACACTGGATCAGTAGAGGAATTTGGATATTTTATTTCAAAGATCTCACTCATTCGCTCTAACTTTTAAAATAACTCCACTCTTTGGTGTAGGGGCCAGGACTTGGTTTTCTGCTACTTTGCTCTGGCTCTTGCTGCTTTGATTTTATTGTTTACCCCTTGTTATTTCTTCAGTTAATCATTTTCAGATTCATTTTTCTTCTTTATTACTATTGTAATGGTTCCACAGTATCCTAGGTGCTCTGCCCATATAGCAAGCTATGCTCCCATTCCTAACATGCTTACAGCGTAAAGAGACAAACACTGTTCAAGTGGCTAGCATACTAGCCTTGGAGAAGCTGTTCAAGTGGCTAGCATACTAGCCTTGGAGTCAGTAGCTCCCTTCTCTGCCACAGACTTCCTGTGTGACCCTGAGCAAGTCACTTAGTATCTACTTTAATTCCTCATTTGTACAATGGGGATAATAACATTGCCTTACCTAGCAGGAGTAATATGAAGATGAATACATTAAAGACTCAGGGTGTGTCTAGACTACACCTCTCTGTCAACAGAGATGTAGATTAGGCACATCAAAATTGCTAATGAAGCAGGGATTTAAATATCGCACACTTCATTAGCATAAACATGACCGCCGCTTTTTTTCAAAACGGAGCTTTTTCCGAAAAAAATGGCATTCTAGACGCAGATTTATCGAAAATAAACTCTTTTTTGACAGATCCTGTAAACCTCATTTTTTGAGAAATACAGGGTTTGTCAAAAAAGGGTTTATTTTCAACAGATCTGCATCTAGACTGCCGATTTTTTTTTATTTTTTTTCTAAAATAAATGAGGCGTACAGATAGTGTGGAATGGCTTGCTAGTTCGAACTATCTAGCCCGTGCCGCGTGTAGCCGCGCGGCACAGGGTTCGAACAAGCCGGCATTTAAAAATGGCGCCGGCCGGCGTATGCAAATGAAGCCCGGGAAATTCAAATCCCGGGCTTCATTTGCAAGTGCGGTATGCCTACATTACCCCGCTAGTTCGAACTAGGGTGGTAGTGTAGACATACCCAGAGTGCTCTCCTCCTAACTGCGGCCCTCTGGTGGAGCTCCTCTATGAGCTGTCGCCCCCACTTTGGCCAGCGGGGCTCCCTGCCCCCAGACAGGCTCCCCTCTGGGCCACCACCCAGCTCTGGCTGGTGAGGCTCTGTGCCTCAGCCTGCCTCACTCCAGCCACAGCAGAGCTCCATGCCCCTGTCCAGCAGGGCTCCCTGCCCCCACCTGGCATGGCTTTTCTTGGGCCAGTCTCACTCTGTCTGCGGCATGGCTCCATGCCCTGGCTCGTGGGGCTCACTGCTTCCTCGCCACTGGCCCCACAGGCTGCCAGCCATGAACAGCCTCTGTGGCTGGGGCCCTCTGTCCTGCAATATCCGTGGTCTAGTCCTACACCACAGAGTAGGGGTGGGAAACATTTTTTGGGTTGGGAGCCACTGACCCACAGAAAAATCAGTGGGGGGCCGCACACAAGTGAGAACCAAAAAGAGAAAAAACCCTCACCAAAAATAAAACCCTCGTGGAAGCAGCCCCCAACTGAGGAGAAAGACACTCCCCACATTCCCCTGGCATACACCAGGGGGGCCCAGCCTAGTAGATTTTGCTCCAGGCCCATGGGGAGACAGTGTGGGGCTGGAGCATCAGCATAGGTTCCCTAATGCTGTAGGTGGGGGGGAACCCCGAGCCTCAGGGGCCAGATCCAGACATGCCAGGGGCTGCATCCAGCCTGCAAGCCTTAGGTTCCCCGCTCCTGCCATAGAGGTTCAACCTGTCTGTAGGATCATATATATATTATTAGGATAAATATATATATTTATTAGGATAAAGAATTAATCATAAGGTAATTGGATGTATAAAGTGTGGGTGGGAATAGGTTTGTATGGGCAGGGAATATGCTGTAGTGGCATGTAGGAAGGGAATATGGATGAGTAAGTGGTTGTGAATATAGAGTTGGGTGTAGTTTGGATGAAATTTTTTCTTTGGCTAGCAATTTCTAAGATTTTTCATTATTGCATTGAGGAGAAATGCACTTGAAACATGCTTGACTTCGATATTTGCTTAAACTATTCCCACATACCCCCTCTGACAGGTAAAATCATTTACTACTTATAAGAGCTTGCACTGAAATCCAAAGGACCCTTGTTTTATTAAAGTGTTTGGGAATGGACCACTACACTTCAAAATCTATATTGACCCCAACCCTTTATTTCAAGTAAACTTTCAATTACACATGCAAACCATTAAAAATATACACCTCATTTAATCAGCTATAAAACTAATATTACCAATTTAAAAGACAACAAAAAATTGGCCAGCTTTGCAATGCAAAAAAGCATTGTATTTGGAAAAGGAACTTAGATTATAAACTATACAAAGAAACACTCAATCAAGCCAAATGTTATATGCAGTAAATGTAAAAACTGTAATGTAGTTGCAGACCTGTAGTTTCAAGGATTGTTTGCTTAGAGAGGATATAGGACAAAGCTGCAAATAATCTTTAGCTAATGTATTTTTATAATCAGTTAACCCTAATATAAACTTGCACTGCTGTAGGCTAAATTTCCTAAATGTAGTCTCTCTCTTTGTAACTGTAAAGTTTTACTGAGTATATGAAATACAAAGTGTTCTTCAAAATAAAAATGTACAGCTGTAATAAATCAAACCACAAGAAAAAAATATGAACTTAGGATAGCAGATTTGCCTCATGCCATAAAGTGAAAGCTACCCAAATTGAGAACCTTTATATGAAACTGACTACAGGTAATAGAGTAGAACAATGAAAGAAAATATTTCTCCATGTTATAAGATTAAAATTTAAGAGCTAGAGAAGCTGTACAAAAACAATAAGGTCTCAGCAGGATAAATTACATTATAAATGGGATACATTAAATTATAATAATATACCCAATTTTATCAATTCACATTTTATAATCAGGGCCTTCATTAGAAGAATACACTAAGCAGAGCTTCACTAAATAAGCAGACCTATCAATTGAGCAAAACAGTTGCCCCTGAAATAGGGACTATAATATTTTTGATAGTTATTTCACATTGCAAAAGAAATTTCTCTAAAAGTATTATCCATCAGGAAGTTGTTTTGGAGGAGAGACCATCTTACAACACGTCCTCCTAACACATATACTTGTGTATTACTTAGCATCATAGCACTTGAATAGAAGGTACAGGAAAATATTGTGTTTTCCATCTCCTATAAATTAATAATCCAACATTATACATAAATGTCTGACTAGTATTCTAATCTAATGCATTACAATTGTATTTTATAAAATATCTCTTGTTCAAATTGGAGCCAAATACTGTTTTCTAAAACCAACTTGTTAAAACTGCTTTCTTTTAGTCCTATTTTTTGGTTGAATTTTAAATTAATTTACCAGTTTCCTCCCCGGTCTTACATCAAAGGTAAATTTTACTACATTTTGTACAATCTTGATACTTTACTTTTTAAATGGAAATAGAAATGTTCTTACCTGCTATCAAGGAAAATGGCAAAACTAATCTGAAAAGCAGCCCACAGGCTAAATTATTCACCATGATCTTTTCTCTTCAGGGTGTTGTAGGGAACTGGGAGGCATTCATAACCCTGGTTCAGCTCTGGTGGCTTATGTTGCCTGAGAAAGAGGATGACCTTACAGTGAGCCTTTACTGATTTCCATCCCTTTTCTGTTGGTCCTTTTTAAATGTAAACCCCAAACATTACAAAAAGCATTAAAAATGTGATCAGCAAGGCAATCGATTTCCGAGTAAGAAATTGTTACAGCAACCAGAAGACTAACATCAGGTACTTGTCCAGTAATCCTCATTTTCTTTGAGATGGGAACTATTGATTCCTTCTTTCTTTCTTTCCCACTTTAATCCAGCCTTTTTCTCTTTAGTGCTGAACAAGTAATTTTACACTTGGATGTCAGATCTACATTGATCTTTCTTTCCAAAGTCTCCTTGCTTGTTGTGTTCTGGTCCTAATAAGTTGTCAGAATAGAACTATCCTCTAAACTGTAAGCATTATTTTTTTCCCAACCCCTCCCCCCCCAAATAGAGTAGAAGGTTTATGTGTTTATTTCTTTTTCCTGATGAGTTCCCAGTAGCCATTGAAAGTTTCACCCTGGATTACAAGCCAACTACAACCAATTATGTATTGAATATTTCGAGGTAAGGGTGTTGTGTAGAGACACATCCCAAATGTCTTAAAGTCCAGCACATAGCTTTTTCCGTAAAGCAATCACCAGTTTGTTTAAAAAGACGTGTAAATGGCAATATTAGTTGTTGCAACACTGTAACACTTTTCTTTGAGCCTGGACATTTCTAGACATTGGGAACATAAGCAACTCACTTGGAACCTGATCCAATGCCCATTAAAATCAGTGCGAGTCTTGCCACTGATTTCAATGACCATTGGATCAGATCTTTGGGCAGAAATTAAGCCCTAGTGCTTTCAGCAAGATAGTACAGGTTGTACCTCCCTTAACTGGGGCCCTCTGGTCGGGCAACATTTGTGGTCCAGCAATGGACCACGGCTGTTCCTGGACCACAGAGTCCAGGAACAGGGAGGTCTGGCAGCAGAGCAGGTGAGCAGTAGGGGCCACCAGCAATCCAGTGGAGGGAGGGGACAGGCGGCACAGCGGGGAGCTCTGTCCCCAGGAGCGGCCGTGAAGCTCTGTCCCCAGCTGTAGAGCCCCAGCTCCAGACCCGACCGTGGAGCCAGGCACCTACTGAGCTCTGCCTTGTTTGCAGAGCTCCAGCTGTGGGGCTGGCGACATCTAGAGAGCCCCCTGGGGGGCTGAGGCAGCAGCGGGGGCAGGCTGAAGCCCTAACCCAATGGTAGCACAGGCCAGGACAGGGGGGACCTCCCCAGGGCCAGCAAATCCCCTTGTTAGGGACCAGTCAGGTCCAGAGGGTGCCGGACCAGCGAGGTCCAACCTGTATTTGGTCCCTGGATCCTAACTTCGGTCATGGGCATATGTGCAGTAAATAAAGGGTTAATTATCTCACAAACCATTGTTCAGG